CGGCCATATTTCAGACCTGAAACTGTATAGAACTTTTTCCATATATACCCGTAGACATCTTACGTTTATCACAGTGTTTGCTTAGTGTCTCCAGCTTTCCAGAAGCATCTAGAGCTAATAGATTTTGAGACCAGAACTGTTGTGGGTTAATTCCTTGAAAATATTAAAATTTCAAGTACCCCATCCCTTTCTATCCCAGTATGTTTCATTGGGACGCTTTATCCATCAAATTATCTACTCTGCTGTGCTTAGAGCTGTGAGCATTCGGTATCATGGATGGCTCATTATATATGATTGATATTCAGAGCAACTGAGTAAATTTTTGGATGTGCTCCTGAATTTGACCTAGAATGTCTTTGCAGAAGTAATGCCATAGTTATCTTTTCACCTAGGCTCTTTGTAAATGTACTCCTACGGTCCCACACCCCCTGTTTTATACCACAGTACCATGATAACCTTCGTTTGAGTCTTTACAGTCGTCCTGTGTGGCTGTGTTCTGAGTACTTATTTTTTCTGTTTTGCAGGACTGCATAAACCGAATTATTACGCTTGAAGGCATGGGTACGTTGTCTTATTATTCTAATTTCTGATCAATGAATGAGCTTCATTCTCATCTTGTCTGGTTGACTCGCATCAGTTGAAGTTCAACCTGGAACGTGCAGCACCCACTTGGACTGATACTGATAGGCTCGCTTCGGTGTTGTGCAGATAGATTATCTGGCGTGATGGATGACCGTGGAAAGTTCATCTACATATCAATAGAGGAGATGCAGGCCGTTGCAGACTACATCAGGAAGCATGGGAGGGTGAGCATATCACACCTGGCCAACAACTCAAATGAATTCATAGATCTGGAGCCAAAGCCCCTGTACGATGAGAAGGAGGAGAGCCATCAAGATGAAAGCGCCCCGGCAGGCGTAGTTGCAGAGGCCTGATGAGTACTCACGGTCGAGCTTATTGCCCCTGCAACAAAGCATCTATCGTTTTAATTTCTGTGCAAGATCAGGTACATGTTTTCTAGAGATGTTACTATAGTTTGTGCTAACCTTGGTGGCGGCTTGGCATCTCGGACTTGACAAGATCAAAAAGGGTTATTACATCATCGGAAATTCAGAGCTGTGCTGATTTTTTTTTTGAGGGGAAACGTTGCTGCCTTTTTATTGCCTACTGAGAGCTGGTGCTGATACAATGAAAGGTTTCATATAGTATTGCCCTGATTTGGCCATGCTTGTAACTAGCAAATCCCATCCATTGCGCTCTTTTGGGAGCCTGTAGGAACTAATGCGAAGAGCCCAAACTAACGACTGGCCTAGCTTATACTCCCTCCGTCCGAAAATACTTGTCATCAAAATGGATATCCATTTTGATGACAAGTATTTTCGGACGGAGGGAGTAGCTAGTTTGGGGAGTCATATGATTTGTTCTACTAGCAATCATGGCGTAGCCAATTATACGAAGTGTTGAGTCAGTGGCGCCATACCTTTGGCCTGGCACAAGTCAACACACACCGGTGGTCATGTTGGAAGAGATTAAATTGCAGTAGCATGGGGACAGGCGGACAGCTTTCACACGTACAGTACTACAGTACTAGTAGTAGTATGCAATGTAGTACGTGCATGATTGGTTAAGACGCTCAGAGGCTGGTCCATTTGCTCTTGTCGCCCGGCCATGCATTTAACCATTTGCTGCTACTCACCTCGCAGGCGACAAGAAGCGATATCATCTTCTCTACCTCCGTTCTGGTTTATTGGTCCTTTGTAATTTGTGTCAAATTTTGATCAAATATTTAACTAACAAAATATTAATGCATATCAATAAAATTTATATCCTTGGATTCATATTTAAGCATAGTTTCCACTGATATATTTTTTGACATGCATAAACAGTTTATTAGTTAAACTAGTAAATGCGTACGTGCATTACACGTTGATATTAGGTAATATATTAATTACACAAATATTACTCCCTCCGTCCGAAAATACTTGTCATCAAAATGGATAAAAAGAGATATATCTAGAACTAAAATACATCTAGATACATCCCCTTTTATCCATTTTGATGACAAGTATTTTCGGACGGAGGGAGTAGGTAGGATATTATTTGCGTATTAATTATGTGATTAGCATTGACATTAATATTTGGTATGATATTAAGTGCACGCTAAACTTGTTGAGCGCTCACCATTGGAGCAGCATGAGTCATTGGATTCACCTGATTTGACGGCTCGGATTTGTTGAATCTACCCCTTTGGGTCTTTTTATATTGATATAGATATAGATTTATGGTTAAAATCGGACACAAAGTAGAATAAGGACCCATAAACCAGGACGGAGGTAGTAGCATTAACTATTTTTGTATGCAAGAGGTCCATGTAAATTGGTGAAGGCGTTTTTTTGTTTCACTTCAGAAATATAGGTAGAACTAAGAGTTGCCGAAGTGTGCCTAGTTGGCATCCTCAAGCTTAGGACAAGCATTATTTTCAGCAAATAAATCTTCAAACATTTCATACTCATCAAACATAGCATCCCCAAGCTTATGGTTTTGCATATCATCATAGTCATTCTTATCAATAGCATGAATGGCACCAATAATATAGTAAACATTATTATTATATTCTTCTAAGCAAGTGTCAAAAAGATTTTTAAGATCATAAGAGGCATCATTTTCTTTCCAATCATAATCATCACAAGAAGTAGTAGGCATCACAAAATCATACTCAATATCATCATCCTCCATCAACATATTTGATTCACTTTCATGAGGCACAATGGTGATAGGAGCAATATTACCTGGGAGAGTTACCTTTTTACCTCTACTTTTTTCTTCTTCTTCACCACAACACGTGTGGGTTTAATCAATTTTTTCGAGCTTCTTGTTGAAGAGATTGAACTCCGCCTATGTCTTCTAGGCATAGCCGGTCCCAAGCCCGGGTAAAGGAGGAGGGTTGTGATAGGCTTGGCGAGCCAACGTAAAAACTAGCCAGTCCCATGGGTATGAAACCCATTTGAGCAAGAGTAGTACTAGGATGGGTGACCTCCTGGGTAGTTCTCGTGAAAGGGTTTCATATCTAAGGGCTTGGCGAGCCAACGTAAAAACTAGCCAGTCCTTTGGGTATGAAACCCATTTGGGCGAGAGTAGTACTGTGACGCCCGGGTAATTAGACTACAGTAATCCCGCGTTAATGTCGCCACGTCACCTTGGATACTATTGCTAATCTCGCGCTAGATCAAAAACCGGTCCAAAACATTCAAAGTTAAAATCAAGTCAAACAGTTAAAGTTTTCAAAAGTCAAAACTAAAATGTTCTTAACATGACTATTAATTCATAAGGCATATTGGTGGAGAAACCAACGCTTTACAAAATGTTTAAATGTACTAAACTAATTAAATCATTAGCTAAAACCATTAATTAAATGCCTTTTATGTTTTGAAAATTTATAAACTAAATTATTTTGGGTTGAAACCTTTTGTGGTTGTGACATAAGTTGTAACATCAATTTAGGTGCCACTTTGGTATTTTGTTAATACTAAGATAATTAGGAACTAAATGAAAA